TGGTAAAAAAAAAATGTTTTAGCCTCACAATCCAGTTACCTGCTATCAAAAAGCATAGCTCCAACAAGGCTACAAAACTCCTCTAAATTTGTTATTTAAAAATAAAATAGGTTTAGATCTTTATAATCTGCATTTTTTTGAGGCTTTGCCTTTTCTTTCAGCCCACATACCTATTCTCACATCTGTCTATTTACACATGCTCCACATCACCATGAGTTGTGATGGTTCAAAAGCTCTGTCAGCATTGTTCTGCAGCAGTGCCACAACAGCGACTTCAGCATCACTGTGTGACAGGCTGCTGTTCATCACATCAGAGCAATGAACCCAGTGATGGTGTTTGAGGGAATATTTGGATGCATAGACATGGACAGACCTCAACAGAATGACGAAGACGCCTTCATCTTCTTTGCTCTCACTGATGACGTTTTAACTATAGACTTTGTTCCGTCAACAGACCATTTTTCACCGTCTAATTTTGCTGTGAAGAAAATAGGCGACACTCTCTGTCCTCCTGTCATCACTGTCGACCTGATGTTCTTGATCACAGAATGAGGGAAACCGTATTGTAAACGTCTGTTGACACCCAGAACTCTAAAAGAAATAGTACCACATATTTGTACAGAGACTGGACAAAACTCTGTGTAGAAACCGTATAGACTTTCTATGGTCCACACTATAACGCCCGTACCGTCTCTATTAGTGGTGTAACGGATCGTTGGCGATCCATGATCCGTACGGATCACCCCTCACAGTTCAGCACCGCTGATTAATGACACAGTTTAAGATTAACCATCACAGAGTGAAATAAAGTTTTACCGACATCGTTATCCACCAATACTGAAATATGAGATCAGGACGTCATGTATGTTTTTCTAGTCTCTGATAATGTTACATTGTAAACAACCAGTCAGTGTTTGAATTGACCGGAGGAGAGCTAGTAACGCTAATGGACCACAAACGAAGGTTCCATTTGGTTACATTATGATGCGTTCAGGCTCTGTTCAGTGAAAATGAGTATTGAGCAAAGGTAAATTATAACGTTAACATGATGTATTCACATGTGATCTCGTGAATCTTCCTAATAATTTGAATTGTGTGCCTTTATGGAAAACACTATAAATGACAATAAAGCAAAAGGATAACATTTAGAATTGTTGATGTTTTACTGACTTCTGAGCGGTTGAAATGATTTTTGGGATGGTGGCAAAAAAGCCTGGAGCCATGTAGACCAGCTGCTATGATCAAACAAAAGGATCTGTATCTACCAATATGGATCATCAAAGATCTGCAATTAGTATCAGCGGCAAAAGAACATGATCAGGGATCTCTAAAAGTTATATTTGCTCCCTTTTTTCTTTGGTGCTGATCCGATTTTTGATCCGACTCCATTCAGAAAACGAGTACCAAAAAAAGGTTGATTGTCGTCTTGCGTACAGACCTGACAAAGCATAAAATCAGGCGTTTTTTTTTTTTGTTTTTTTAAATCGGCATTGTTGGGAATAACATAGCCTGACATGGGTTATCAGCAATATGTTGGGAATGTAAAGGAGCGTGTTTGGGTTATCAGCATCTAAGAAACTAAATTCTTGACATCAATAGAATTATTAATGTCAGTAACAATTATTAATGATTATTAATAACGGGGCACCACCCTGCGAACAGGGACCAATAACCAAACAATAAACTAAGTCTCATAATTAGTGTTCACTCGCAATGTCAATAGTCCGAGTACTATTACACATTCAGAGTGAAAGTGAAGGTTTAAGTTCGAGCACAGACCACATATACAGCTATTATCACAATACATGCACAAAGTAATCACAGACAGCTGCTCTTTAAAATATAACAGAGTTTATTACGTTCTAATACTAATGATCTAGTCAACTAATATCTAAACTAACAACAACTATACATTCATGAGCACGCTATCTAAAATCAACAGACGATCGAAAAGAGGGAACAGCTCAGCGACGTATGACGTAGTTGGGACGTAGTGACGTCTCTCATGCGTGAGACTCAAAAATGGCGGATAGCCAACAGGAGACCTGGCGTCTATACGTGCCGGTAGCCGTTTAGCACGTAGCTAGATTAGCTCCAAGCTATATATGTGTATCTGTGTGTGTGTGTGAGTAAAAGAGAAGGGAAAGGAACAAAACAAAATGAAATAAAACAAAAGATTAAGATCCTTCGCGCCGCGCTGGAGTACAGAAGATTGCTTTCTCAGCCAGGGGAGCAAGTGGGAGAACAAGAGAGGCATGCTGGTTCCTCAAGGCTGCTGCCCTAAAGTGGAAGTCCACCATCTGATTCACTTTTGCAGTTAGATACAATAAATCTGGCAGGCTGAGTGCAATTCAGGTCAAGTCTCACTGAGATCTAACGTTTTCAAGTAAGACCTTGCCAAAACAGTCCCTGCACAGAATGGACAGAAAGACAAGTAACCAAAGAATGATCAGAAGATACTAAATAAACTACAATCATCTTTAAATGAAAGGAAGCAGAGCAGGAGAGTAACTGTTTGTGAGAAATAAAGTGATGAAAAGTGAGAAACAAAGAGGTGGAATGTGAGAAATACATCAGATGAGTCGTTGGTATTACCACAGGCCAGTGAAGGTGAATCAAACATTACAGCCCTCTGCTTAATCAACACAAAAAATGACAATAAAGAAATACTGAAGGCGGTGATCATTTCAGAATTTGAATCTTCACCAACACAGGTAACTGATGTAAACTGACAATGATAGTGTAGAAATGTCTATCAACAGTGAACAAGTAGGGTTGGGCGATACCACAATACAGACCATAAGATGACAAAGAGCATTAATGAGATTTTGCATAAACCCTCTGTATCCCTCTCCTCTGTACGTGTGGTGGACTCAGACCAGTGTCGTGTTACGTCTTGCACTGGGGCTGAAATGTGTTGGTGTTAAATGAATTGAGGCTCTTCTCTCCTGTTATTGATATTGTATCCTACTTGGAGGATTTTTTTTTTTCCATTGATCTGTTAGGGGAAGCCGTGGCTGAGGCTGCTCTCCATGGAGCAACGGTGAAACCAAACCACATCAACACTTAATAACTCTTTACCTCATGAAGCTCTGGTGTGAGATCTGAGATACTGAAAAGAAAAGTAACAGCAGGATTCTACTTTGCTTCGCTCTCATTTCTGCTCTGAAATGAATTGCTTGATAAGAATGCAAGCCAGGTTAAAGGGTTTCTTCAATTAACTGTTCCAGTCGATGAATGATCACTCCGTCTGGCATAGGCAGGAGAAAATCAGCGTGCATGAGCAATCCGTCATAACACAGTCAGGAAGTGAGCAGAGTCAGTTTGTTGCTTCCGTCACCTCTTATGGAAGAGTGGAGGGATTCAAAATGAACTAAATGTGGGGGGCTGAGCCACATACTATGCTGTATCCATTTCTCCCCCACACCGTATAAATTACAATGTTCCATAGAAACAGAAGTCATCACAGGGGTCCTGCTTGTGCAGCCCTGGTCTCCAACAGCCATCCTCATACTGACAAACTGTCCATCCTTCATCAAGTCTGCAATCTGATCTGGTACATTCATATTCATATATACATATATACATATATATACACATACATATATATTCATATATACATATATACATATATA